ATACTGCTACTTTTTTTTAATTGAAATTTCTTTATGTGCTCTGTTCAAGTGGGATTTAATTTGAGAACCTATTTTAGATTTGTCAGTGTAGGTAAAAGATAAATAGAAGAGTCAGAAGAGATTGTATTTTGTTATAAATTGATAACTGGTGTTCTTTGCTACTACTGCAAATGCAGATACCAGTGGATTTAACAAAGAATTTATAGGCAGTGACAGTAACACGTAGGTTTATTATTTCATTTGATAAGAAATTACTTTTAATTCACTCAGTTACATTAAAGAATTTTTATGCAAAGTATGAATAATAATGTTCAATATGTGTTTGTTTGGTTTTAGCACTTCTAGCTAAGCAAAACCAAGGTATTTACCAGTTAATTCATGGTTTTAGCACTTCTAGCTAAGCAAAACCAAGGTATTTACCAGTTAATTCAGCTTACTCAAACTTAGTTTAGAGACAGTATGGGTCATAGTTTGCACTTGATGGTTTGGATTGTCCTGAAGACCTCAACTGAAGCTGAAGTAATTCAGGAGGAATCATAAGCAGTATAACTGTCAAAAACCTAGTGGCTACATAGCTGTCTTTTGAGCAAGAAAGTGCTGCTGGTGGGGTGTAAGATGCTGCTTGAGAAGTTGTTGTGTATCAAAGCTAACTGTAAAGGATTTCGGGATGCGAGGCACACTTCAGAAGGGGGAAGGAGAGCTAGGCATAGTGAGAAGGCAAGTGACTTTAACCTCTTGGGCCTTGGCTGAACAATGTTCAGAGGAAATGGGAACTGAATTAATCTTACTTCTTACTACAGATAGGATTGAGATGTAACCCTTATGGTCCACAGCACAGTAGCATAAGATTGCAGAAAGCTGCACCTTGGCCATACTGAGTGAGGATTTAGTAGCCTGAGATCTGGGCAATACCAGGTGTCTAAAAGTGTGACTATTTCATCCCCTTCTAGATCCAAAAGTTTTTCCTGTGCATGACTGATATTTAGCAACCCGTTTCCTCAGATGATCACAGCAAGTCAGGCATAGGAAGATCAGCACTGAGTTAGTTGAGATGCAGATTCTTTTCCAGTGGATACCCATTGAAGAAAGGCTTCCACTGTTGATTTGTAGAAACATTACTGAGGCAGAAAGCTGATGAAACTGGTTTGGAAGTGTTAAGCAACAACCGCAGCTGCTGTGGTATGTAACTCCCCAAAAACCTCTCCAGTCCAGGATATGTTGGCTCTTCTGCTTAGCAAGGTTGTGTTATCTGGGGTGTGGTGTCCATTCATCATCTCTCACACTAGCCTAACAGTCAGCCAGTTATTTCAGCCTTGGGGAAAGATCCAATAAACTTGAAATTGGTCTCTGGCTGTTTTGAAGAAACACATGTACATCGTTTATTCTCTTGACAGTAGCATATTGGAAGTCTTTCCAGGGGAAAAAAAAAGGTATTCAGAGGCCACAGGTCTGCACATAATATTGTGGTGGATTCTGGATTTGTTTCTTCTATGAATAGCCTGGCTTATAGCACTTAGCAGATGAGTACTTGAATACAGGTGCCCTTTTATAAAGGATCCTCAAGAAAAGCTTTGTAATGAGGAGAAAAATAAATGGAATGTTTATTGGAGGATCATGGCAAATGAAAGACTTGTTAATATTAGCCCTAGATGTATACACAGATACAGACCCTTTTAGGACAAAGTGTGGATGAAGCTGGCAGAAGTCACAGACCAAAGTTACTGTGAATTAACTGCAGCACAAGGAAGAGGAAACTCAAGAGTCTGGGGTAGGACTGCCAGGGTAGCTGCACAAACCCCAAAGGATTGGCACCTTTTGCTTACAACAATGAAATGCAGCATTTGATTAAAACAAGGGTGCAATTAAAACAAGGGTGCAATATGGCTTTCTTGTTCCAAAACAAAGATAAACAAGCAAAGCAAACCAAGAAAAACAAAAAAAAACCAAACCCAAAACAAAAAAAACCAAAAAACAAACCACCCAAAACCCAAACAAACAAAAAAACCACACCTCACAGGCCAGATTGGAAGAACAGAAACTGAAACTGTAGCGGTGTGAATGTGTGATTTTCTTTGTCCACATGCCATAGTCCTCTCACAGTATAGGTATTTCTGCTGGATCCTAACTACCATTCTTAAAATTACGTTGCCTTAGTTGAATATCAGGTGCTTGGTAGGGAATTATTTCTTCGTGAAATAGATATGTACAAAGGTTTCAGTCTTTTGCACCTGGGAATTTGGTAAGCATCTCACAAGATGCAATCCCATCTCAGATGGCCTATCTCAGAGGTTAATTAATAGTAATATATCAGGCCCTGTATTCTTTCCTGTATTCTTTCCTGTTCAGACTTCATAGCTACTTAGGTAACCTACTGAATGCCTTCTGAGAAGCTATGAATTTTATTTCAGAAAAATCTATGTGCCTACAGGAAATCAGAGCTTCGTTAAGAAGAGTTGCAGTTATGCTACAGATATATATTATAGTTGGATGAGACAGGCAGAGCTCAGAAAAGATTCCAGTTTTATTATTTCAAATTTATTTTTCAATTTTTGTCTTCCTGTTTGGAGAAGAACCTTTCTGGCAGTGATTCAGCCTTCTTAGGAATTTTTTTGTCTGTCATTAACTGGTAGTGGTTCCCAGGGCATCAGATTTGCCATCATCTAATATGTCTGAAATCACTTGTGACAAGCAGCTCTGTGGGCCCCACTCTGCGGAAGAACTTCAGGAATGTTCTAAAGTTGGGACTCTTTTTTATTTATTTACCAAACACAGATAAAATTGCTGTTCCTCTGTATGACCAGTATTGTTTGTGTGAGGCAGAAAGTGCAGAAAAGGATGTCAGCATCTGCTGAGTGCTGAGATGTCTGAATTGGAGATCTACCTCTGAACCCTGTTCAATATTCACAGCCCCAAGCTGCATTTTTGTATACATATATACACATATATATGTGTAAGTAGCTAGTTTTTGCACATCTACATTCAGAATCAGAATAGCTGTAGTTTGATGCCAGCATTACATTTTAGAAACATTCAGAGTTTCCTCCATTTCTTTTTCTTAAAGTCCAGTCTTCAGTGGAACCGATGGGACACCTCCAGGGTTAAATAATTCCTAGAGAGAGTTGGAGAGGAAAAGGACAGCCAATAATGAAAATTATAGAAAGAGAATGAGCATTAATTCTGTTTTTTCTTTCTCAGTTCAATATTGGTTTTGTTGCTTGCTGCAAATCAAGCGTCAGTACTGCGTTTCTTCCCTCATTAGCTCTTCTCCCTTGAACAGGCATATCTTCTAGCAACTTTTCATTCTTTCTTTTACCAGAGCTCCTTTTTTGCCTGATAGGTTTAAGTCTGCTGTACAAAAACTAAATCACATCAGTCTCGGTGCCTGGTGGTTGCTGCCCTCTAAGGAGCAGGAGTCAACAGCAAAGGCAGGTTGGTTTTTTTCAGCTGAAGAGTCAGTGTATAGCTAAACTATCAGCACACCAAGTCCTCTTTTCTGGGCTTGTACTACTGAAATTCTGGGACAGGAATTGTTCTTAGTGATAACGAAAGATATATAGTCATGCCCACAAACACCAGTGTCTCTTTGAAGACCTTTCCCAACCTTTGCTAAAATCAAACCCAGGTACTACACTACTATGGAAAAAACAAATGAGAAGGTTAAAAAACGGTGCGACTTTGCCTGTAGAAGGGCTGGGTGGTAGAGCTGGTTGCTGGTTGTCAGGTACTTCACTCCATATACTTCATCATCTCATATAAATACTTTTAAATACTAAGCCTGTCTAATCAATGTTGAATATGAAACAAAAATATGTTGTTATTAATCTCAACACACATAAGGAAAAGTTGATTTTAGTAATGATACTGTCTCAGGTATAATGATTTGATGACATTTTACAAATCAGCTACAGAGTAAATATATTGTGTGCATATAACATCTCAACGGATGGGGAATATTTTGTGAAAAAGCATTTGAGGTTAGCTTGTTTGGCAAGACAGATAAAATTTTAAAGACTTGTAGAATTCATTGTTTGTCACTATTAAGGGTTGTTTTCTAGGATTAGTTATTTTACAATTAAAAAAGCCTGTTGCGGATGTTGCATGCTTAGTTTCTGATGCCAGGACATTAATACCTGGGTTGCTTTGGTCTCCTAAGGAGAAGGAATCACATTAATATCCGTGCCTTGATTCTTCCTGTGATTATAGGCCTGAAATCTAATCAGCTTTGTTTATTATGGATATCAATATTTATTTAAGAGAATGAATGGATCAGTGGATTTGACTTTGGGTAACAGAATCTGGAGTATTTAGCATGTTTACATCAATAACTTAAATTCATCTCAAACTGTCTATGCTAATGTAGCTTCTGAAGTCAGACATCTGTGAATTAAGTTAATGGTCCCAGAGGTGGCTTTAGAAAGCTCTCTGTTAATGCCCATATCAGCAGTGTCAGGAAGAAGGACAAGGTGTGAAATAGCAGGTTAAACACTGTCATTCATTGTCTAAATTCATCTGTAACAAGGGAGAAACTGAGAAAATACATGTTGTTTGACAAGATGAAGAGGCTGCAGGTTTACACAAATATCTGTCTGTAGTGTGACATTCATTGCCTTGGACTGCCAGATAGATGTTGGGCAAATCATGGAGAATAGATAGATTCTGACATAGCCTTTATCCAGAAAGTCTTTAAACACCAATTACTTGAATGGGAAGGTGTAAAGAGGAAAGGCTGTTCCATATTGCCTTGTTTCTTACAGCCTTTTATCCCAAGTAGTCACTCCTGGCCTTTGTCAAGGACAGGGTCTATCCTGGAGTAGATAGACCAGGGCTGAAGGAGTATGGCAGATCTTACATTCTTGTTGCTAGTGCCACATCACGAGGGCAGTGTTCTGTTGTGACAGGTAAACTAGAAGCAAAACAGCAGTGGTCTGTCAGCAAACAGTGAGTGCTCACACAGCAGTGCAATGCCTCACTCCCTCATTGCTCTTTTTGTTTCTGTTTAGGCGGGTGACAAGCATTATCATCCAAGCTGTGCACGATGCAGCAGGTGCAACCAAATGTTCACAGAAGGAGAAGAAATGTATCTACAAGGTAAGGATATCTCTACTCTAAAACAAGAAAATCAGACTTTGTAATTCTTCTGTCACTAACAGTTACTAACAGGCCCAGGTATTGCCCAGTATATTTTTTTTTGCATGATACTTTCACATAAAAAAGAATGTGCTCTTTTCTCTGATTGAAAAGTGTCCTTGACCTGAATTCTACCTACTCTCCTAGAAGGCAGCATGTTACACTATTAAGCTACACTTATTTTTATTATTTACTGTAGTGTTAATTACTCTTGGTAGAAAGACTTATAATGCACAGTTATGCAAGCCAGAAATCAAAGTGAAGAAGGCAGATACATGTTGGGATTTTGTATATTGTACTTACATTAGAAAACTTGCTTGATATACCCAAAAGGACTGTAAAAAAGTAGGAAAGAAAGTATGAAAGTGTGGTGGCAGCCATCTCTTGAAATCCTGAGGAGAGATTGCTTCTGGAGAAGTTCCAAAATTCAGATAAGAGAGTTAAGGAATTCCTTTGAAGCTACCTTGTATTATTTTCTTGTTTGACCTCCCTTGCAGTCTGTCTCTCTCATCTCACATTGACCTTATGCCTTCACCATCATATTCCAGCTGTGCACACAACTGGGTATTGAGTTGTGTAGCAGCTCTGCGTTGCAAGAGCAAGGAGGGGCTCAAAGTGGGTTGGGTAGGAGCTCCTGCTTTCTGATGGCAAAGACTCATTAGAAAGCAGCAGTTATCACATAGGAAAACTGATAATTTTCTTAGTTTCTTCACATCATAGTATCATGAGGTATGGACAGAGTTCAAGGTGAGCATCAGTTCTTCCTTTGCCGTTATTACTAAGCAGCTGTTTGCAACTGATGCTGTTTGCACCAGTCTAGCAGGCAGTGGGAGTTCATGTTGACTGGGCAGGCTGTGGTGTACATTTCTGCAGATCCAGACAAGACAGAAGATATTGCTTCTACTTAAACAGGACTAAATTTTGTCCCGGCCAAGTTCAGGTGATGTGAAAGCAGAGAGGAGAGATACCTTGGTCCTTGATCTGCCGTTATTCTCTTCTTGGCTGTGTCTCCCTTTCTGTGGCTGTGAATTAATGTTCTTCATGCTCACTCTGTCTCAGCCCAAGCTGCATTACTTTATTGTTCACAATAAACACATGTTTTCTGACTAAATAATGTTATTGCTGAGTGTGCTCCAGACTGTGCTGCCAAAGCTTTGCTTGCTGAATTCAGCATGCTTCTAAGTGTAAGGGACCTGAAGCCTTTCCTGTGCAACACTCTCAGCTGAAATGCATATCCTGAGTCCATCCAATCTTTTTTTCCCTAGGGTGCAGAATAACAGCATTCCAAGCATTTCTCTGAGATAAAAATACAGCACCACAACACTAGAGCTAGAACCAAAACCACATTATTGATAAAATACTTGAAAATAGGCACCTTGTATCTCACTCCTAGCTGACCTCTCCACAGGACATGAAAGCACTGCGTTGGTGTTGCTTTGTATCATAGAGGAGCCTGTCAGGTTTGTGCTAGCTACACTAAGGAAACCTGCAAAAGGAGAGCACAGAAAAACAAGCTGTCTGCTCTGGAGCTTTTGATGCTGAGGGTGGTTTGGATAATGCTAGCACAAGTACTTTGCAGTACTCCAACAAAGGAAAATGAAAAGCAGCCTCAGAAACATTCACTTTCCCATTGACTTCCTAGTAATAAATTACTATGTGGACTGCCCTAGAAGACTGTTGCTGAGATGAGAATGTTCCTCAGCATTTAGAGGGATGCTTCACTTGATTCTCACCCAGGCTTTCAGCCGTGTTCAGTGTGTAAATAATACCCCGACTTACTGATTTTTAGAGAGCTGTATATTGAAACAATAGTACGTGCAAAGTAAAAAGCTGGATAAGTGAACGTGTTGCTTGGTGTCTCCCAAGTGAGCAAACAAACATATGTTAAGAATGGGAATAACCACAATTTGCTGAACTGTTTCCTGTAGGAAAAAGAGGGGTGATGCAGCTTGAGAATTTGGACTATTCCAGGCATTTCAAAACAGCTTGGTGTGTTTGGGTGAATAAAATCTATTAAGTTGGGGGTAGTTTGGAGTTCAAGATAATAAAAAATGTTTATATTTAACTTCCTAGGCCTGCTCTTTCTGATTTGGGGCTTTAAATTTCACGTATTTCAAACCTCTTATCATTTGGTGAAAAAAAACTCACAACCATTAGTTCTGTTTCACCATCAAAATAACATCCAGACTCCCTTGTGTTTCTTGTTCACTTTCAGAGCTGCAGCATTCTCCTGGGATGTCCCTAAAGTTATGCCCATTTGTGCTAAATATTGCCCAAAAATGCAGTGTCAGCTTTTTCTTTGATGATGAGGATAGTTTTATAGAAAAGAAACTGAAATACAGATGAGCAGAGATCACTTTTCTCAGGGTCACACAGGAAGCTCACAGATGAATTTGAGAGATGACTTTCTGAGTCTTAATGCATCAGCCTTATAAGATGAATTCCTTTCCTCCCGAGTGCTTGGATCTGTCTGACCTACTAAGCAAATGCACAGGGCGTGCTTCTCTCCTGAGCTTGCAGGCCCTGTGGGGTCCTGGCTCCGAGGCTGCTGTTTGTTTACAGAGAAGGCTGTTGGTCTCCTCCTCCTGTTGTCAGATCATTTCCCCCTGCCAAATACACAGTTTCTTCTTCCTCGGCTTAGACTCAAAGCCAAACATCTCAGGCCCTTGGTTCAGAGTCGCAGCGTTCTCTCCCGTTTCCTGATGATGATTACACGGTGTGCTGCTGGGAAGAGAAACCATTCCTGCTGGGCTGTACTTCTGTACCAAGCCATGTAAGGGCTCCTTCAGACAGAATTTCCAGGGGCCCTGACCCACGCCTCTCCAGGGCTCGGAGGGTGGGGTTCCCTCTGACTGCACTTGAGCTCATAGTCACCAGCAGGAGACCTGGACTTTGCTCTGTTTGGTTTCTTTGTGGACAAAGTGAAGAGGTGACATTCCCCCTGCAGACAGACAAGGCTCTGTATTGGCGGCGTGGTGACTGGAATGAAGTTTGAATTTAACTGCAGCTGCAGGCAGTGTTAAAAGTCAGCATTAGCTTCTGCTCCATTCTAGCCTGGCTAGTACCTGCCAGCAGCTTCCCAACAGCAACCACAGTTTGCACTGTGTTCCAAAGGAGAGCTGAAATGGGGTGGAAGTGCTCCTTGCCCCTCACACTGCTCAGCCTTTGAGGGCAGCTGGATATTTCCGTTTTTACAGCATAAGGGAGAATCCCCTGTTTTGGGACACAAACAGCAGAGACCTTGCTTTTTTCAGTAGGACGTGCAGCTGGACTATGGCACGTGAAGGTGCCGGTGCAGCACGTGGCACTGGCCTTGCAGAGCAAAGCCTAGAGGTGATGTGTGTGCCCTGGGCAAGTGAGGTACAGTGTCATCCAGGGAGAGGCTCTTTCCCATGCTGCTTTCTGCCACCTGGGCCAGGCTGGCCTCTCTAGCTTAGTGTGGTGGGTGAGACACGGCCTGGACTTCACTGCCTTGTGAATCTTCTAATTGTGCTTTTCCTGTTGCATTTTGCATAATTGCAGGGAGGAGATGATCTGAGTATTACTATGGAGTAAATTAATATAACACCCATTGCTCAAGAAAGTCATAGGACTTTCCCAGCATTAGTGGACTTAAAATCAGAACTTGCTTTTTACATGTGGTGCAGTGCGTAAGGGGAGAACAGATCAGGTAATCACAGCCCACTTAATTTGCTCTTACCCTCAGTCCTGCCCAGAGGAGCCCTCTGTCTTTCAGTTCCTCCAGCTGGTGCTTGCTGCCTTCCTTGCTGCTTGAGGCTGTTTGAGTTTTAATTAAGAATGTGTGAAAAGTGTTTTGACAGTCTCAGGAAGAGGCTGCTGTAGATGGGCCAAAGATTTTAATATTTTTTAATTTCACTTAAATACATATTTCTTATGAGCTGGAGTTGAATTGCTTGCATGGTTTATACAGATTCACTGTGTGATGTAGTAAAGAGATGCTTTTTAATAACTGACTTGTCATGACCAGAAGTTCTCTGCTTTGCTCTGGATAAAGATGGTTTTTTGCCTCCCTCAGGTTCGACTGTCTGGCATCCCGACTGTAAGCAATCCACCAAGACTGAAGAGAAGCTACGGGTAAGCTGAATTTGTGGCAATGACACACCAGATACTTTGTGCACATAATAAGTGAATGTTGGTTTTAAGAGTGACTTTTTCCATGTTTTTTTTGCATAGCTGTCAACACTCTGGCAGAATAAACAGTGGAGGCACTTCAGAGGTATTGCTCTGATTTTTAGGCTCACCACCTTTACATGCCTGTCTCAGTGCACTGCCTTAAAGATAGTGTCATTTACTGACATACAGACATGACAAAATCTCTAAGACAGTTCATTTCATACCTCAATTATTGTGAGAGAGACTCTTAAGGAGAAATGTGAACAGAGCAAATGCTACGATATGTGTTTTTGCACATCTGTATAGTTCCTCTATAGTTATCCCCTGTTCGTGTGGTTATTTACAGCATTTAGACAATATGGACTTTTCTGCCTTTGCCATAGAAATAAACCTCAACCTACAGTAATCCTAATTTGAATGCCAAGAAGAGCTGCAGTTATCCTTGGAGTCACCACAGCATATCCAGACAAACTTTCTGAATCAAATCCTTGATGGCAATAGTGCTGCACTAATAAATGCTGGAGCCTGGCTTTTTGCATGCACCAGGCAATTCTAAGCCCATATTCAGTAATTAATCTTCTGAACAATTTCCTCTTTTTCCTGACTCAGTTGGTCCTTTGAACTTTGCTAATATTTTTTGTATATAAATATTAGAGACTGTATATGAATAAGATGTCTTTCAGACAAGGAAATTAAGAGTTACTGGCACGGAGATGCCTAGGATATCCTGTGGGTTGTGTTCTAAGTGTGGCTCATTCACAGGAAGCCACATCCTTTAGAATTTATTCAGGTGCACTGGTCTGTAAAACAACCCCTGCAGAGAATATACTGTGATCTTAGGTGATGTGCAGATAAATTTTTCTTGAGCAGAGTTTGTGTTAGTGTGAGCTGTGCTGGTAATACAGAAGCATAATTGGCCCTAGATGGATGTGTGATCTAGCACGGCCAAACATCACTGTAGGTACCAACTGGCATCTGCACACTGTTCTGTCCTGACTCTCCATAAGAAAATGGAAAATTATGCTGGATTGGATTTTCTTCCTCATTTAACAATTTGCCTGTAGAACAGTGTTTTGGCCCTGCTGAAGTGTCAGAATGCTTGTGCTTTGCAGTGAATGGTTGGGGTACAATACCTCCCTTTCACCCAAGAGTCGTAGCAAAGCACTCCTGACTACCTTGCAGTCATTATGAACCTCCTCCAGCTGACCTTATAAATTGGTTGGCTTATTTCCATTCCCCATAGAAATGGCCAAAGTCCTCTTCAAATATTTTCCTTTCTTCTGTCACACATTCAAGCATGTCAGTCTCAGTCTTCTTTGCCCTCAGCTAATTTTAATTGGAGTGAAGTAAATGAATTCATCCACCTGCAAGACTTTGCCTAAGTGAGTTCACACAGGAAAATTAAGTGAAATGAAGGAATGCATATTAAGGGAACATCTGAGAAATGTTATGGCATAGCCCTCCAGGGTCACCTGGTGCCTGGATGGGAGCTTCTATGCAGAGGTCTAATATGTCTTTAAAAAGCATTGATAAATGCACCATCCTGAAGCTAGCTGGAAAGATGGAGAATTTTTAGCTCCAACTGTACATCACAGATAGTGTCTGTCTACTCCAGTGCACAGTCAGGCACCTTTTTTTAAGATCAATTTGAGTTCACTTTGATGACTTTGACACACATTTCATTCTGCTGACTCAGATGAAGGCAGTAGAAAACAGGTAGGTACAGAAACAAATGAAACTGGGAGAGCTGTGTGCTGTTTGAACTTGTCACCGCTAAATTATAAACTGTACTTTCATTGACTCTCAGATTCTTACAACATACATTTAGACCTGGTGTAAGAACTGGAATTTAGTTTGTGAATTGATAGATGTATGATAAAGCCATTTTAATACCTTTCAGGCTTTTTTTCAAGCTCAGGCCTAAATTTTCTGGTGGTTCTGCAAAAAGCCAGTGTCAAGGCCTATTTGCCCTGCTGGGTTTCCTTTCCCTATAGAGCAAAACAAAAAGCCCCTTATCATTGAAGTCACTTGGGAAGTTTTCAGCGAGTTCTGTTCTCTCTCAGCAGCTGACTTGTGATAAAAACTAATCAGCTTTCTGAATGGTCAAGATCTGAGAGGGAGTTCATAAAAACAATGGTTCTTCAGAACTTCCCCTCACTGGATATTTGTGGAGAATTACAAAGCCAAAACAAGCAGAAAATAAAGCAACCATAAGTATGTGACAAAAATATACATTGCTTAGGGGTTTAGGTTTTTTATACAATTGTCTGGCTCTTTGTGATTCTGCAGGGATGAGTAAGTAATATAGATATTATACCACAGATTATTAACTAGCAAGTAGTTATTAGTAACTTGATTGAAAAAAGAGCTTAACCACTGAGCTGGGGAAACTGCTTTCCTTTTCACTCATTTTTCCCTTTTGTGTTTCATGACAGCATTCCTCATCTGAGTTCTTTTATCCAAAGAGTCTGGTTCTGCGCAGGCCACGCTCTGCAGAGGTTTGCTGTTGTGTTTTCATAGTGTTGATAATGGTCTTCTCTACTGAGAAGATTCTTCATCACTGTCATTTGCTGCGCTTGCTACTGCTCCTGGCACTCAGCTTTCCTGCTATCACTTGCCACCATGGGCACTGACGCTGTATTTTGCATCATGTGGTGCAGTGTTGTTTGTTAATTCTCACATTTTCTTTTTTGTTTAATGAAATGCTTAAATTTTTTTTCAATTCAGATGAGCTTTGGGGGGCTGTAGTATTGTTCTTCCAGTGTTACAGGAAGTTTTTCTTCTACAACAAAAAATTAGAGTGCAAATATGAAGCAAATGAAAATGGTAAAAAGCATCTGACTTTAAAGCGATGGTTAAAAAGTAAATGGCTCGTATCAGTTAAAACAGTTTCTATTCTATATGTATTGAGCAACTACAACTCTAGTTGAGAAAATATTTGCAAAATTCCAGGTTTGAACATGGTCTCTGTGCTCTCCAAGAGCATTTGCCTCTCTCATCTGGGGCACATCCGTGTCTGAGTTTGGAGGTCCTCCCTGTCCTCTCGATTCTGGACTACCTTTCTACTCTCAGACTTCCTTGGGTTTGCTTTTCCCCTACAAATACCACCCACTTCCATCCCTTCTCCTTCAGGGCAGTGCTTGTTTTTCAGTTGTGCCTGCTGTGGAGGGACGTGTGGCTGTAGCACATGCAAGCCCACCTCGGGGAGCTTTCTCCTGGGAACCACGTAAGAGTGTACTGGTGTGGACTTAGTACAGGCTGGTGGTGGGCAGACAGGCTGGTAGAGACTGTGCCACTGGATTTCCATTATGTCTGCTCATGCTGCTTTCATGTCTCTAATTGCAAAGGAGATGTAGTCATATCATCAGCCAGGGCTGGACGTTTGTGTTAGGTGCAGGATAGTGCTATGTAGTGGAATCCAATGCTGTGATTCAGTGGGAGTTCAGGCAAGCCCTGTGCCCTGTGTCCTGCACAGTACTTTCATCAGTTAGCTGAGGATGTTGCAATGCATTAAGCACTCTTGAATGCCAGTCTCTCTGTTAGCTACAGAAATATGTATCAAGAAAATATAGAGCTATAATGATGTTTTATCAGCCCTAAGGAGGGCAATGTCTCAGCAGTCCTAAGCTTTATGGAATCTAATGTTGCAGTCTGAGAAAAGAAAATTATGGGACTATTTTACTCACCTTTTAGGCTGGTCTAGTGGCTTTTTGCATTCAGGTTAGTGTGCATGAGTCCAAGTTTCGAGTGCTGAAATCCAGGAGCCTTAGGATTATAAAAGCAAATCCTCTCCCATGTGTTAGGAAAGCATGCAAGGCAAAGTAGGAGTAATCCATGTCAAAAAAAAAGGTATGTTCTATTTCTTGTTTTGTAGATTGTGTAGGATACAAATAGCTTAGGGTCAGATGAATGTATGTGGTATGTTTACACATACGCTCTTGTGTAAATTCTGTATTAAATTCTGCTTAGATTTACATGCTGATTATGCAACACGTAATTCAAGACATTTTTTTGACTTCAAGTGTTCTTCTGCAGAGCAGGCACAAACATACTATCATTGCTCTTCTATAAAGATGGGCCAAATGCTTGAGTCTGCATGAAAAGTGCAGGTTGAAAATTGTAGGGTGAAATTCTGTGAATTCTTTGAGAGGTTTGCAGTTGAATTCAGTATGTTCTGAACTTCCCACTTTATTTTCTTCTGCTTTCCACTTAACTTACTCTTGGTGAAGGCTACGTTTGTGTGAGTAGTCTTGTAAAAGTTTCTTCGGTAGCAACGTGCCTTCAATAATCACGTGCTGAAAATTCATTCTCCTCTCTGGCCTTTGTGTCTAGAAAGGAAAGAAAAATTAATTGTAACCTAGTAATATGTGTGTCTGCGTGAGTTTAAACTAAACCTGTTCACTTGTTTTGGATTGATGCATACATAGCATAGACTTTTTAGGCAGAGAAATGATGAGTGCATGCATTTGAAGGAAACACTCTGTGAGAAGGATACAGTTAAACTAGCAGGCAGCCACAATGTGTGGTGCAACACTGAGGTGCTTTGTTGGTCTTGTACACAGCCACTGAAAATCACTGAAATCCATAGGAAGCCTGTGCTTAATGAACCCTGATTCCAAGTCCTGCGTAACTGTAAAACCTTGCACTCGATGAAGCAGGTAGTCAGACTAGTAAGTGTTGTACTAAGAAAGCCAAATTCCTTGCTGTTGTAAAATTTAGTCTGCCTAGTAGAGTAAATTACATCCTAAATTTCTATTAATTCATAAACATGCTTCACTTAAAGTAGTTTCTGAGGTTTAGATAATTTGCTTAAGCTATGATGTTAAATGTAATTAAGTGAAAACATTCATTCTTCTGCAGCTATTATCACCGCCTTGCATAATGAACTCTATCAAAAAATTAAGGCAGGTACTGTAAATAATGCTGATGATGCCTTTGCTAAACAGTAGTGCATCCATCTGGCCAGATGTTCTTGGGATCAGTTTTGATCTTTTGCCTGCACTTGTAAGTTTTTATAGAGCATGATTCTGAACATCTGTAGATGAGAAAGCCAGAGCCACCACATTGTAGCAGCATCTGGGAGATGTGAATGGCTCTAGCGTGGACTTTTTTTTTTTTCTAAGAAGTTATTTCTATAGATGATTTGCCATGCATGATGACATGACAAGCTTAGGTAAATGCAGATGAACGTCTTAAGCTTTGCAGTCTAATATGAAATATCCAAGTTAATTTGGGGTCTATGCATGGGTGATACGATATTTGAGCATTGAAATTCAGAGTGAACCTAATCGGATGAGCATGACAGTTGGTGTTACCTCTGCCAATATGCAAATGAAATTTAAAGAACTTTTGCATTGAAGACAAATGCATGGAATGAAGAACGAAAACATAAAAATAAGAAGTCTGTGATAAAGTGGGAAATACTGAGAAATCTTGCAGATACTTTAGAAGCTTTGTGATCTGGTTCTTTCCTTTGGCTCCTTTAATGCCATGCATGAATTTCTATTGACTGAATTTCTATTGATTTTTTTCGTATACTTCATAGACTCCATGTATCTGTACACATGTCCCCTACTGATATATTGACTATCGTTATATCCATTTGGGTAGAAGAAGAAAGAAAAGAACAGATGACTCTTCTACTGTCAGAAAATACGGAGAAAGGCTGTGCACCACAAGAAAAGAAAACAAGATTAGGAGTAGTTCTTCATAGGAATTTACTTTAAATGTCTCTGTACAAAGGTGACATTACGAAAAGCTGTATTTGAATCCTTAAGGAACAAGAACAATCTTATAAAGAGTGTTCCAGATATGTTTGCAGAAGTAAGGCAACAAGGCAGCTTAACTTGTTTTGTTGATGGGAGTGTAGCACAAGTATCACAAGACTATTGTGAAGGAAGGAAATACCACTAAATTAATGCGTTCATTTTAAAGGATGTTTCCTCTAATTTCTTTACCTGTCTTGTTCCAATAATTCAAGCAAGAGATGCTCACATGGAATCTCCATGGAAGGTTAAAGGTTAAATCAGGGATAGCAGCTATTGCTGATTCATCTGTGCTCTGATCATGGAATTGTAGAATGGTTTGGATTGGAAGGGACCTTAAAGACCACCCAGTTCCATCAGCTCTCCTCTGGGGTGGAATTCACACCTCATTGCAGTTACATCATAGAGAATTTGACCTCCAGTGTGTCCCTTTCCACGTGCTTAAGATACAAAGTCGCAACAGTGGTACACAGGGTCATTGATTCTTGACTGCTAATGAAGATGGAAAGTACAATCTAATAAAAGCCATACGCCGTCACAGATTTTCAGTCAGGAGCTATTATAGGTCTGCTAGGAGAGGGACCAACCATAACAACTGCAAGTATGCCAGAGGAACGTCTTGTATCAAGGAATCTTTAGTGTATATTCGTTAAGGCAAGCAGCACAAATGGTTTTAAGTTCAATGCAATTGTCTTTAGGGGAAAGTGCAAAGCTGTGAAGGATTCCAAACCATATGGGAGGAGCAGAGGAGGAAATAATTTCCATCTGTGGTGGAAACAGTCTGTCTAATTCAAAACAAGAGCCTGGGCAGAGTGAGGCAGGAAGGGTGAAAGTAGATGTGGAAGTCCTCTTTGTCATCACGGTCTTCACGGGTATGTGGTAAACTTAAGCAAGATACAGGACTGGGAGCGAATAGAGGAGCCACGTTGTTCCAGGTCTGCTTGGATGAAGCTCCTCGGGAGAGGAACAGTGTGTGCTCAGGCACTGGCTGGCAGGATGGCGTTCTGCCCAGAGAATGTGGAGATCTGCAATAGGCAGAAGGTAAAACTGATGTTCACGGGAAGAATTACAGAAACTACAAATTCATTTTAAAGGGTGTGGTATCTGGCTCATGGCTGTGTTAACGGGATCGTAGCGAGGAACTTGGAGCAGAAACACAGTGGGGAGTGAAGAGCAGGTGCTACAACTTGCCAGTCCATCCAACAGCTGCTCCATATATACTCCAGGGTTAACAGCACCTAAGAAAGTTGTTAGCAGGATGTGACTGAAACTGTCCTCTAAGGTGGCCATTTAATAAATTCACTGAAATGATAAATACAAGTGAATTTTCCTTTGCTGAAAAGGTTTTTAGCAGAGACGCTAAGAGATGAGACGGATGGAATGAACCGAGGGCTGAGAATTTCTTGCTTTCTGAAGTGATGATAAAAGATGCAGGGAGAAGAGGAACACGGAAGGGCTGCCAGGTGGAAGGAAGCCACAACTGCCTCTAACACTTGTTTTCTTACAACGGAGAACTGGGCAGACAAAACTCTTAAAGCACGTCTGCCAAAAGCCAAAGGTAGCAGAGACACCCCTAACAGCACCTCAACTACTCAATGCTGTTCCCTATGTTGTAATGAAAACAATTGTTTTCCATAGCAACTCCAGCAATACGTTACACGTGTCTATACTCAGACTCAGTGGTGTGACATGGCAGAGTGGAAGGCAGATTAAAGTATTTCTTAACAACAACCAGACTTTCCAACTTCATTCTTGTAAAAGTTCCACGGAACAAGTGGTTGTTGTTGGCTTTGTTGTCTTGATTGCCTCAAAGGAGGAGCTTAAAGGCAGCTGAGAAATTTCTGTTCCATTTTTGGATGTAAGAATTTGTAGCTACAGAGAGAAAAGGAAAGAAAAACATAAAGGTCCAGCTGAGAAAGTGTTCTGAGACATGCTCAGGAGAGAATTTGTGACTGTGTGAGTCCATAGCCACATCTGCTCTCTGATCTGAATCTTCACATTTTTTGGTGGAGTATGTTCAAAGCCTTTCATTCCTCTGATCCTCCCTGAATGTAATAATTCCATTTCCATAAACGAAGTCAGAGAAACTCTGCTGTATGGCCCACAGCTAGTCTTCAGCATTTTTATGTGGCTGGTTCCAAGAGGTTTCCTGGCTATAAAATAAAAGGTATAAAGTCTCTGAGGTCTGTCGATGATCTTTTCAGGAAATGTACACTGAGAGATAAGAAAGATCCAGTAGCCTTGTGTTCATTCCAAATAGTTCCTAAGAAAAATCAGCCATCCAGGCTGTCAAGCCTTGTTTATCTTCAGCGTGTGCCTGAAGGTCCCTTAGTTCAATGTCACAAGCAGATAAGGTAAGGACTATTTACCAAGATTTAATTTGCAGTGACTTTGAAGTATCCCACTGCACTGGTCATCAGAATCATCTGCTGGTGCATTGCTTTGTGCTGGGATTTGGTTCTTTGCAGTCCATTAGGGAGCAAGAATTGTTCATGGTTCCTCAGTTGCAATGGGATATCACTGACTAACTTTGTGTGTCTGCTGCATGCCAAGGGAAGGAGTAATTGCCACAATAGCCCGAGTGACTTTATTGAATAGACGTTTTTCAAATTCATCAAGTTCTCAGGATCCCCACATTTCAGTGGTGTTATTTTGTTTCCTCTCACAAAACTTCCTCCAGGGAACCAGTGTCTGTTTACCATTGATGAGATCCCCACATTTCAGTGATAAGTTATTTTGTTTCCTCTCACAAAACTTTCCCCAGGGAATCGATGTCTGTTCAGCATTGATGAAGTGTTGGAAAATCTAATAAATGTGTAACAGCACTCTCTCTGTAAGGGTGTGACTGTTCTCATGAATTTCAGTTTGCAGGACATTGTCATGAAACATTTTGCAGTATGGGGAATCATGAAATCTCAATCTACAGTTCAGCTTTCATGTTACATCTAGGCTGTGCAGTAGGTGTAGGGGGACGCTCCAAGCCAAGGATTTCTGGTCCTTCTACTTAGAAGAACCGAATTCAGTTCTGTACTCATGAGGGAAATCCAGTGATTGGACACCTGGAGAGTGATAACATTGTGTGCTGTGCTCCTCTCAACGGTTTTGTCTGCTGAACTGCTGATACCTCTAGCTGTTTGTGAACTAACATATTGATAAAATGACCAGCAGGACTACCCTGTATTGTACTTTGTATGGCTCCTTGTAGTGTCTCTGGCAGGTGTTGTTTGATTTTGTTCATTATTGTCGTCAGTCTTTTACACTGTATGATTTAGAAAACCTCTTTCCCCTCTCACATCACTCCTTCCCCTACCAAACAAACAAAAAAAAAAGCCCACTTGTCTCACAAGACTGTGACATTTCCCAGAATGCTTGCATATGTGTTGACATTTTTTCCTAAATTCAGTTAATTTCAAGATGTATGCAGATTTCTTCACTTAAAACCAAAATTACCAAAGGCTTCAGATTGCTCTGAAAAGTTACTTTTTGTTTTTCAGCCTACAAGAACATCATCAGAAAGCATTTATTCCAGACCAGGTTCCAGTATACCTGGCTCTCCAGGCCACACTATCTATGTAAGTATTCCTTCTGATGAATAAGCTGCCAGTCCCTTGCTTACACATGAAATACTTCATGCTGAAATAAATCCCTTTTGTACTGATTCTAATGCTCATAACCTCATTTTAGTGGTTAAATTGTTAAAACTCTTGCTAAAACTACAGAATGTCAAGAGCAGGGTAGGCCTTTCCCAGGTCACGTTTCCCTTAGATACAGCAAGTCTCTTGAAGTCACTTGGTGGTGTGAAGAGGGACGGGAGGTAGACAGGTCATTCAGCTTTGCTAGGGGTTGTGTGAGGGGATCTCTGCACCTCAGTATAAAGTTCCTGAGAGATCTGCTGTCTCCAGTTGCAGGATGTGGGGAGGAGGGTCAGCTACACGGGAGGAAGCCTGGCTGATACAACACCTTCCATTTCAGGAGTCAGATGTTCTGGTTGTGGAGAGGTCGTTTTTATTTAAGAACAAAAATTATATCAAGCATCGTCCTTTTACTAAACTAACAGTGCTGAAAAAGCAAAGCTATTGATATACTATTTTATTTTTGGATACCTGAGATATAGAGTTTAATATAATCATATTCAGATATCAAGGCTCATCTTTCATTATTTTAGAGGATCTCTTCCACTTCATGTTTTAAGCCTGGAAGATCTTAGAAACTGAAATACATTCACAGAAGAATGGCCCAAAGTTTTCAAAATAATAATGTTTTTCTTCTCTTTTTATACCATTTTTTTCCAGACTTTACAGTGTTTTTAAATGTCGGTACCTTTTTTTGTTTTGGCAAACAATTCCACAGGGTCAAAAAAAGGTCATCTCTCGTAGGTGCACTAACCTGGTTCTTAGAGGGAGGAATATCAACTCAGATGTACTTGGGTGAATAACAAAACAACTCAACTTTACCAAACTCGCTGAATTTCCATGCATGTAATCTATGCTTCCAAAACTCACATCCTGAGTTGATGTTCTCTTCCTTGAAAGTCCATATAAACTTTGTTGTCATATAAAACATGCTCTCAGATAACTTGCACAAAACCCAAGGCAGAAGCAGAAGATAACAGGTAAGGAAGAAAGTCAAAGGAAAGCAAGCTAGTGAGAGTGAGTCCCTTATGAGGTGTGCTGAGAGGAAGAGGCAGACTGAAAAGCAAGCTTTCTTTTCTGTTACCTAAGCATAATGCTGCATCACTGATTGTATAGGTAACCTTAAGATTATATAGGTGAATATGTAATATAAGACACAAAAGTTTATCA